CATATATATATTCTCTTAAATTACCGATGTTTATTAAAATAAAATTCTGCTTTAACTAATCAGTTCTTTTAATAATCTAAGGAAATTATTATTCATGTGTGTAAATACACAAGTATATATACATTCATAATTGTATCACTTATATAGTGTTTATAAGAACAAATGTTAAAATTATTTTAAAATAATGTAAATATTAATTTTTTATGTGACGAAATATGACAGTCAAATGAGGTGTGAAAATGAAACAAATGGAAAAATGCTTAAGATCTATTATTATTAACTGAAAAATTAAGGAATATTATGACCTTATTTTTGTTTTTTAAAAAGAGAAAAGCAAACAGAAAAACACCAAAATGTTAGTATCATTCATATTGATACTCATAGGTGATGTATATTTCCTTCTTTTTCTATGTTAGTTGAATTTTCTGTTATAACTCTGTACTTGGAAAATAATAGTAAATGAAATGTCTCAGTTAATGGCATGCAAATTGAATCTATTTCAAATGTAGGGCAGGAAAAAGAAATATCCTGAAGACATTAGGTGAATAATATGTCTTTAATCAGTCTAACTAATCACTTAAATTAACAAAACCAAAAAAAAGCTTGGAGACCAGAAAAAGATTTATTATTTTTCTAAAGCTTAAAAATACATAAGCATACAAATGACTATAGCAGATTGAGGAAAAATTCTAAAGTATACTCACTTTAGTCCATGACATAGTTTCCAACCCAGCTTTCAGACAAACAGTAACAACTACATACTATGAGAAGATGGGAAGGAGAGAGGTTGGAAAAATGTGTTAAATTTTTTCATTAGAATCCATGCCTCACAAGCCTCTCCTGACCCTCTATCCTATTTGAACTCCACCTCAAAGACTTCTGTCATTAAGTTGCTAAGTGTTCTGATATGTGCTAATTCTGAGGAATATGTAGCATTTTTCAATTCATCTCCCATATTTAGAAACCCTTTAACATATAGCTCAAATCATGGCTTATAAGCATTTATATTAACATTTTTCTTCCTAGAAGTCTGAGTGCTACTAATAACATACAGTTGAGCAGAGTAAACTGAGACCATTATAAATCAGAGAATCTTCACTATTTTTGGCCTTTTGTACTTCTCAAAAACCTCTAAGGTTTTTCATTGCAACTATAATACATCTGCAGACCAGTTTCAGGAGAATTGAATAGTACTGAATTTTCTTATAAATCAACAAGGTATATTTTCCATTTAGAAGTTTTTAATGTCTTCAATTAAAATTATATAACTTTCATCAGAGATCATAAAATTGTTAGATTTATTCATGTGTAATATTACTGTAAAATGGTATTGAGATTTTTTCTTTTCTAAGTATTTATTGGTGATTTATTGAAATATAATTCATCTTAAGACATTGATAGCTACTTGGGAATCTGTCAATTCTATTAGTTATAATATTTTATCTATAGAATTTTTTTGTATATTCTGTGTGCCCACACATCATCCAAGGTTTAAAACATATTTTTTTCTATCCAGTGATTATTTTTCTTGTTTTGTCTTCTTATCTTATTGTACTGAATTGTAACTCTGATACAATGTTGAAGAGAGGTGTTAATATGAAACATCTTTGTATTAATCCCAGTTTCAAACAGTATGATTTTGTTGCAGGTTGGGTTCTTACACAGCAACAGATGAGGGATCCACTCACTGTTTTAGATCTTACTTTGAAGGTGGTCTTTCATTATATCTACCTCTTAATCTCCAGTGTCAACCCAGAAGTGCATTTCCAGACACTGGACCCACCCACCTCTCTGAGTTCATTTTTGCAATTATCCCAAACTCCCCTTGCCTAACACTTGTCCTATAGTTTCTTTTAATTCCCTGGAAGTACCAGGATTGATTCCATCTTGCTAGAAGCTTTGTCCCTTTCTGTGGAGGCTATCTTTGCCCTTTGGGCTCTCCCCCAGTTCCCCAAGTTTATGGTCAGTATATCAGGAAAGAGTGTTAGTGATCATACCATGTTAGGCCTGATGGCTGTGCTTTTATTTGTCCCTTGGTATAACATTTTGAGGATTTTATCACTGGTCTGGTCTCTTCTTAGTCACTATGGTGAATTACCTTGCTGAATTTTTGTTGTTGATTACTATTCTGGTTAACTATTTAAGCCTTGTGAGGTTGAGATTCCATGAGATCAATTTACTTTGGCATCTTAATTAGAAATATTTTGTATGTATTTTACATTCTCCATGTCTAGAAATAGTTTAATATATGATTAAAATTGATGCTTATGTCAGACACTTTTATATTTGTATGCTGTACAAACAGCATAGAAGATTTGGTTCTACCCAGAAATCCAAATACTATCCCTCTAGAACACTTTGAAGAGGATTTGGTTGGGTTTACTGCCATATATTTGGAACGTGGCAGTTCTCAGTAAATATTTATGAATAGATGAAACAAACAAAAGTTCTATCTGATCTTAATATTTTTCCTGAGGTTGAAGACATGGGGAGTTTGGAAAGAAATAAACTTACTCTTTGCCCATGTCTGCATAAATAAGAAAATACTACCTTACCACATGTAGGGTTCAGTACTACAAAAATAATACTAAAAGCACAACCAATAATATGAAATAAGATGAGCAGCCAACACTGCCAACATGTCAATAATTTATTTTTTACATGCGGAAAACAGGAAAAATTGTTTCTGATACACCAAAATTTTTAAAAACCCAAAAATGCAGAGGAGTATGTTTCTACTTGCATTAAAAAAAGAATAACACATAATTGAATATGCAATTGTAATTTTTAGAATTATGAATAAGAAACTGACAGTTGCAAACACAAAACTTAGAGGCCATAAACATTGGTAAATTCAACTATATAAACTTGATATCCTGAAAATATACTGACATGACAAAAATGAAAATGGGAAAATATTTTTGTAATAAATATGAAAAAAGCATCTTTAACATATAAACAGTGACTAATGAGTACTAAGTAAGAGGCCAAGAGCCCAATAGAATAAAGTAAGCAAGTGGCTCACAGAAAAAGAGATGGGTATGGTTTATAGTCTCAGAAAAATATGCTTACCTCCACAGCAAAACTTTAATAGGCTAGTATGTCACCCAGCCCCATAGTAGCACAAGCTACTATGCTCAAAAGTGTGATAAGAACTCTGCCCATCATGGTTGAGGGACTGGACATTCTTTTCACTAGATGTGTGCATCCTCCATTGGAGGAGTACTTCGTAATGTCTTTCAAAATTCATGATACGCTCTGATCCAGTAATTATGCTTTTAGGAATTTACCCTACAGATACAATTACTTATAAACATAGTCTTTGCACTATTGCTCATAATGTCAAATAACCATAATGTCCTAATAGGAGACTGGCTAAATAAATAAAAGTGAGTTATTTATAAAAATAGCCCTGAAAAGATGAGGTAGATATTTATGGGCTGATCTGAAGTCATCAAAGCATGTTATACAGTTAAATAAGATGCTTCAGGGTATTCTCTGCTTCTTATAAAAAAAAGTAGACATGAGTAACATACATTTATGCATGAATTTCATGGACATTTTTAGAAATACATAT